GAATTGGCATCCTCCTTTATTTCTAGTATTGGCAGCTGATTAAAGGGACACTTGCCAGCTGAAAGAATAAGCGGCAAAACAAACAAACAAACAAACAAACAACATGCTTGAAGGTCAAAGCAAGACAAATACTCAACCTAAGATAATGATGTACATTAAAAATATGTGCAGCAATCATACCAAATTTCTAGGTCAGTAAAACGATTAACGGTCTTTACCATTTCATCATTGGAATAAGGTACACCAACTAATTCATGGATCAAAACTCTGTTACTCGGCCCCAAATGGGGTTCTGTCCTGGTGTACCGGTCCACAAGGGAATTACCATTGTTTTTTCTTTGTTTAGGAGTCATTGGATAGCTGTTGTGTATTGTTCGGTCTTTTGTATCCGCTCTTGTGAACCGCTACACGAGGACAGAACCCCAAATGGTGCGCGTGACTTTTACGTGTTTAATTTCGATTCGATACAATTGGCTTTAGTCTTATAATTTCTTTGTATCATTTACATGCAACACAATCGTGTACCATGAACCAAATTTCGCTTAAATAGTAAATTTTAAATGATGATGATTGTATTTCTCTTTTACTGAGTTATAACAAACGCGCTTCGTTGATGATCGAGTATCGCCTTAGCGCCTGGATTAACATGTTTACTCACTCGCTTTGAAGGCAGGCCATTCCTCATGAAAATCGATACAGAAGTCCTCAAATTCGACTCCGGCGATGAGAAAAGCCAGCCGAATAAATTCTCCGCGGCCTCGTGCTTTGAAATAAGTGAGTTTATAGGATCTCTGAGACATAATTACCTCGTGACTTTCAACTTCGCGTACAGGGGTTCCAGACAACTGCAAATCTAGTCACGTGTGAAAATCTCAAGTCACGAGGCGAGCGCAGGGGGAGGGAGGGGGGTTTGGGAGGAGGCTTAACTTAGGATACTCTGTGCACGATGAAAAGGTTTTGAGAAAATCGTTTGCTTTTAATGAGGTTTTAGTCAGTTTGTAAAAACTCTATTTTTTATATTATTCCTTTTTGTTTGTTCAACGGGCGTTGCTTTTGGCCTTTGTTTTGCCTTCGGAGCAGTCAGGCGTAACTTTGGCGAGCGCGTGCTCAGTATTTTCTTAGCAAAAATTATGGCCGCGGCCGTCATCTTTGATTTAAGTGGAAGCGGAAGGCCGGGAAGTGAAGGAAATTTGTACCAAAGGGTGAGGGATAGTGAAAAATAAGAAGGGGATGAGGGTGGGGAATGCCTTCCCGCTCCCTCCCTCTACCGCTCACTCTAACTCCAAATTAGACACGGGCGGTTGAATAAGCGATCGCGAGCTTCATTGAACTCGCTCTAATAGGACGCCTACACTGCAAGATAGTGTTCGTTCGCTCAATTTGTTTCCTATGCCTGTTTGTTTAGACTTTCGCTTTGCCCAGAAACATTCATCTCTCCCCCCGCCCCCTCCCAAACCTTGATTCATACACTCTATCATAGCCCCTTTCGTCGTCTTCCGTAGTACTTCGAAACAAACAATAAGTAGCACCGGGAAACATCGGGTCTTTGATGTGGAATCTTTATCAGAATGATCTGACTTATGTAATGAAGTCGAATATCTCCATGTATGCGGATGATCACCAGTTTTTCGAAGCAAGTAAGGATGTCCAGCTAATCCAAGCAAGATTACAGGAGAGTGCAGTTGCAGCAACAAGTTGGTATAAAGAGAACTGTTTACAGAGAAACTTTACCAAATATGGTAGCATGCTCATTAGCAAGCAAAAAGATGCCAATATCAATATTGACATAGACGGTATTACAGTTTCCCACTATCAGAACATTAAATTATTAGGTGTACGCATTGATTCTCAATTGACCTTTAATGTCCACATAAGTGAGATTTGCAAAAAAGCTAGTCAGAGAGTGGAAGTAATGATAAGGTTGCGCAACTTGATACCAACCACTGCTAAGCTGCAGCTGTATAAGGCTGCAGTCTTGCCCTATTTGACTTACTGCAGTATTGTATGGCACTTTTGTAGGGGAAGTGATGCAAGAAAAGTGGAGCATGTCCAGGAGAGGGATCTTAAAGCAGTTTTCCGTGACTGGAACGCTAACTATAGGCAGTTGTTAGAATGGGCTAAATTGCCCACCCTAGTTTACCGTAGATTGCAAGATATTGCGACCATCATGTATAAAGTAAAATTTAAGCTAGCACCAAGCTATATACAAGATTTATTTTCAGCAAATCACACAGTGAATAACTTAAGAGTTAAAGAATTTCCTATTCCAAGATTTAACTCTATTAATTATGGCAGGCATTCCCTTAGATATTTAGGACCTGTGCTATAGGCTAAGCTACCTTCCCGTATCAGGACGTTGAATTCACTAACGGGTTTTAAGAGGGCAGTTAGAGGAATGGATTTGAAAATGTTAATGGACGATGGTAGCTGTGTGGGCTGCTTGGTTTGCAGTGCATGATTCTTAGTTATATCTTAATTAGGCTCAGACTATTCCTCCCCC